GGGAAAGAGACGCTGGGAGACTGCAGAGAAGCACCTGGCTCAGGTCAGGAGGCCTCGGGGGGCCAAGGGGGCCGTGCTACAGGCCCAGCCTCCGTGGAGTGTCCGCACTCCGAACGAGCTCAGTGCAGGATGGCCGCGGACATCTGGTCATCGCTGTCTTCCCCTCAGCTGCTGAGAGCTCATCCTTATTATTATGCAGTCAGCTTGTCATCTTGTCCCCGTGAATGTTATCCTGCCCCCCGGTTATCATCGTCTTCAGTGCTGGAGTGCAGCCTGATAGATCATCATCATCATCATTGTCATCAGGTGCTGTTGCTATTCCTGTCCCTGTGTTTACACGCCTCCTTCTTTCTTCCCCATCAGTGGGAACACACCCATCGCCGTGAGGGGGACTCACCTGGACCTCATACAGAACCCCCAGATCCGTGCCAAGCACGGAGGGAAGGAGCACATCAATGTGAGTCCGGGACTGTCCACTCGGCGCGTGGCCGCCCTAAAGGGTGTGGGCTCTCCGAGGGCTCAGGCAGGCTCACCCCAGACACCGATGACGCATCGCATGGGACGCCCCAGACACTGGGATGGCGGGATGGGGAAGCAGACATGAGGCCATTTCTACACTCTGGGGTACAGGCATGCAGGAGCAATCTCTTCTGGGTTTCTGGGGTTTCTTATTCTTAATAAGGGATGGAAGACCTTTATTCTTCCATCCTCTGACCCCCAGTGCCATCGCTTAGCTTAGAGATACCCTAGTGCCTGCCTGCCATGGGCAGGGCAGAGGTAGGTGTCAGCTGCAGAGCTTGTCCTTGAGTGCCCAGGTTGTGTGGTCCTGACTCCACTGGAGCTGTGGGGATCCACCCATGACTGTCCCGTGTCAACGCCACACTGTACGACGGCACCGAGGGAGAGCCGGTGGGTGTCTGGGGCTGCAGGTGTGCGGAGACACGCCACATAGCCCTCCCTCTCCGGCTCCACCCCAGCTCTGCGAGGTTCTGAACGCTACTGAGATGACCTGCCAGGCTCCTGCCCTCGCTCTGGGGCCCGACCACCAGTCTGACCTGACGGAGAGGCCCGAGGAGTTTGGCTTCATCCTGGACAACGTCCAGTCCCTGCTAATCCTCAACAAGACCAACTTCACCTACTACCCCAATCCTGTGTTTGAGGCCTTCGGTCCCTCAGGAATCCTGGAGCTCAAGCCCGGCACACCCATCATCCTAAAGGTAGAGTGAGATGGGACAAAGGAGGCCGCTGTATGCAAGGGGAGGCTTTCCAAGTCACAGGAGGAGGCCGCAAGTCATGGGCTTCTGCCAGATCTTGTGGCAGGTGTCATTAGTTAGCAGAGGTTGTGTTATAGCCCAGACTATGGCAAATGTGCTCTTTGAGTTTGTATTGAGAGGTGCACTCTCTTTAGGGGCCACAGAAACCTGGTCAGGGCAGCTGGATGCACCCTGGCCATCTGACTCCCAGCTTTGGCCCCTGAGTCCAGGACTTGGGAGGTCAAAGGCTCATACTGCTTCCTCCTGTGCAGCCCTTTGCAAACCACCTTATAGGGCTTCTTTGGAGCAAGGATAGAAAGTTAATTTTAACTCATGTGACAATTTGAAGCAACTGGTAGTCACTGATTACAGCTCTGTGTTGAGAAGGATTCTGAAGCTGCCTTTGGGACAAGCTGAAAAGAGTGCCTTGATTATTGATTTCCCACTGAGGAAGGGGGAATAGTAGTACAGGTGTTGTGAATTTTTTGGACTTATTAGGGAAGGTGGCCCCTCCACCAGCTCCCCAGAAGGATGGGACCTCCAGGTGGGAGGACATGTCAGCCAGCCAGTAGCTGTGCTCCTGACTCTGGGGTGGGGACTTGGGCTTTCCTGTCCACGCAGGGCAAGAACCTGATCCCGCCCGTGGCTGGTGGCAATGTAAAGCTGAACTACACCGTGCTGGTCGGGGAGAAGCCGTGCACCGTCACAGTGTCGGACGTGCAGCTGCTCTGCGAGTCCCCCAACCTCATAGGCCGGCACAAAGTGATGGTGAGGCTGGCGGGACTCCACCCTGGATGGGCAGGCACTAAGGATGCGGTGGGGTGAGCGGTCCAGCTCCATCCGGGGCCGCCGGGGCTTTCTGGGAGGGGATTCTGGCCTTCTTGAACTTCCCTCCTGGCTCTCCCACACTCCCGGCTCCTCCTCGTCCCACTTCAGACTTCTTTCTTCCATATTGTCATTCTGCCCATACTGGCTGGTGCTACAGTAAGGGCAATGCGAAACAGCATTCAGTGATGTGCTGTGTCACCTGTTAGAGGCAAGAGACCCTTCCAGGAGAGGACCATCGTTGACCCGGGCAGGACATAATATCACGTCCTGTGCCTTTGTCATCTGTCCTCACAATGGGATGAGTCTTCGGGGATCCAGACTTTGATGGCACGTAGGCTTTTTTAGATCCCAGTTGAGTGCTGTTTCCTCATGAAGACAACCGAGTTCACTCCCGAATGATGTGTGGTTTTTCCCAGTTGTGGGGTGGCCTGCGCTGAGCTGTTCACCCCCGCTGCCTCCACCCCAGGTGCCCTCTCGTCTGCTGTTACAGCCAGTGATGACCCTCCTCCCTGGAGCCATTTCCCTCACGCGACCCTGGTCACCAGCTCACCGGTGGCTTGAGACCGTTGCCTAGGATGTTCTGTGCCCACACCCAGCTCCGTCTCCCCCCCACGTGTCCCCCCAGGCCCGAGTCGGTGGCATGGAGTACTCCCCAGGGATGGTGTACATTGCCCCGGACAGCCCGCTCAGCCTGCCCGCCATCGTTAGCATCGCTGTGGCCGGCGGCCTCCTTATCATCTTCATCGTGGCCGTTCTCATCGCCTACAAACGCAAGTCCCGGGAGAGCGACCTCACGCTTAAGCGGTTGCAGATGCAGATGGACAACCTGGAGTCCCGCGTGGCCCTGGAGTGCAAGGAAGGTCCGGAGTGGCGGGG